TGCTAAAGTTGAGAAGTTTGAATCATCTCTGATACACTGATTGCAGGAGCACTGAGTTCAGTCAAGCTGAGAAAAACCAAGTATACCCATTAAACAGGAAAGTATCCTCATTTTAATATGACTGATGGATAAAACTGATTACAGAGAGGTCTGTACACAAAACCAGCTTTTTCAAGGAAATTGCTTATCTAGGTTTATAAATAATGAGAAGTAATGAACCAGAACAAACCAACTCTTCTCTCTCTGCATTCCTGTCTTAACACAGGGGCTTGGCTACTGCTGGAGTGTTTGTTGCAGGTGAGTAGGATCCAGCCACGGAGTGTTCACAGGCATCTCATTATTAACCTCACTGTGTGCCCTCTGGAGATGGACTGACTTGCAGAGGAATTTAGAAAAACCAACAAAACAGCACTAGGGGGTGAACCTGGCAAAGACTCTTTCCACGGTCTCATTGCCAGTGATGAGAATGAAAGGCAGTTTTGACCGAGGTGATCATTAACATGGAAAAAACCCCCAAGAATTAAAGGGCAACCTCTCAGAAAAATGTGTTCACAAAGCTTTTTGGTGGGAGTGTCGTTGGTGTCTTCATTATACTGAGAGAATTCCCCCAGAAGTAAGTAAATAACACAGGAAAGCAGCAAAATAAGGAGCAGCTGAACCTTTTTGCTGAAATGTTAACTGGGCATGGAGGCTGATGCCTGACTTGATCTTTGAACTGGTGAAAGAAGTGGCAGAGAAGAGGTCTGTGCCATCTGTGAAGGCAGCAAGAGGTCAGCTGTGCTGTGCCCACAGAGGTCAGTGCTGCTCGTTGCTGCTGCTCCTTCCAGGAGAGCACACCAAGGCAAGGGGATGCTCAGGAAGAGGGAAACACTTCCCAAGCCCTGCTGGGGCTGGGGCGATGGTGTGCTGGGGTGGCAATGCTGCTCACAGGTCAGAAACCAGGCTCCCAGGTAGGATCAGGGCTGTGTCTCATGCCAGAAGCCTGGTGCTCCCTTGCCCAAAGGAGCACACCATGCCTTGCCCTCAAAGAGCAGCTGCCCCAGAGGCTGCCAGGGGTGTTCCAATGCAAGCAGGTGAGTGTTGCACTTGGAACACTACTCAGCTGATTTGTTAGCTCAGAATGGCAAACTTTGCACAGCAGGCAGAACAACACACACACAGACATCCAGGGGGTGTTCAGCAGTGGGGCTGTCGGGCAGAGCTTCTTGCCTCCTTGTGCCTTTTCCCTTCTTTCATGATAAAACAGCAAGAAACTTCTCATCTCAAAGTCCTCAGCACGGAATTTAACTGCTCTTCAGTTCACCAGGGCTCTGGGGCTTAGCCCAGGGAGCATCTCCTTGTGCTGTTCATTTTAGGGAAGAGCAGAGGTAAGAAAAACATTGGCAGCACTGAAGAGTTGACATTTATTCCCTTTATAGATGCCTGCGTGGGTAAACAAACATTTGTGGTGGGAAGTCATGCATCTGAATGACATAGAAAGAGAGGACAAACAAGCCCTTCCTTCATCCTAAAATATGGCAAAGCACAGAGTGTCCGGCCTTCCAAAATAGTCCTGCCCAGAGGGGTAAAGAGTTTCTCAAGGAAATCCTGTTCAGAGTTGGTGTCACAAACCAGCAGGCAGCAGCTGAGCTGTGTTCTCAGGGAAACACACACTGGGAATGCCCTGAAACACTGAGCTTTGCACAAACACCCTGAACCTAGAGCGGGGCAGGTGGAGGTGAGACATGAGGAGGGAATTGTGGAGTGTGAGGGTGGTGAGAGCCTGGCCCAGGTTGCCCAGGGAAGCTGTGGCTGCCCCATCCCTGGCAGTGTTGAAGGGCAGGTTGGATGGGGCTTGGAGCAGCCTGGGCTGGTGGGAGGTGTCCCTGCCCATGCAGGGGGTTGGAACTGGATGGTCTTGAAGGTCCCTTCCAACCCAAACCAGGCTGTGATTCCATGACATTCCGTGCCTCTTGGAACCTCCTCCTCTGGCGTGTCCCGGGGATAATCCCGGAGGAGGGAAGGCCCGGGAGAGCTGCCAGCGGGGGCGGCCTCGGCCCGGGCACCGGCAGCGCCTTCCTAGGCCCCAGAAGGGGCCCCAGAGCAGGGGAGGAAGGGCCCCAGAGGGAAGGAAGGGCTCCCAGAAGGAAGGAAGGGCTCCCGGCAGAGCCCCCGCAGGCAGGCCCTCCCGGCCCCGCAGGTACCGCCACCCCGGGGCTGCTGCTTCCCCGCCCGAGGGTCCCGGGGGGCTGGGAGGGGGTGCGGGGGCTGAGCAGGGTCCTGAGGCAACAGGGCAGAATTGGGCCCCTTCTCGGCACCCCCGGGGAAGGGCTGAGCTGCTTGAGGGGCAGTGGGTGCAAACTGGAGCACAGGAGGTTCCATGTGAATCTCAGGAAGAACTTCTTTGCTGTGAGGGTGACAGAGCCCTGGGCCAGGCTGCCCAGAGAGGCTGTGGAGTCTCCTTCTCTGGAGACATTCCAACCCCCCTGGCCACGTTCCTGTGTGATGTGCTCTGGGTGCCCCTGCTCTGGCAGGGGGGCTGGGCTGGGGGGGCTCTCCAGGTCCCTCCCAACCCCTGGGATTCTGTGACTGGGGCAGTGGGAGGACAGGGAGCCCCCCTGGCAGTTCACAGAGCTTGGAGCCTTCACTCCCTGCTACCCCTGCCTTCAGGACATCAGAAAGGAAAACACGTTTCAGCACCTAGACATGCTGAGAGTTAGTTAAAAAAACCAAAACAACAAACCCAGGGGACTTCAAAAGTAACAGGGATTTGGTTTTCTGTAGTTTAACTTCCCGTTGATCCATTCCCAGGTCACCAGAGCAGCTTTCCCAGCTGTGGGTGTGTAACCACGGCCGGTCAGCCAAGGGCAGCAGCCAGCACAGCCAGGTGGAGCTGGGACAGAGGGGGAAAAAGGGCTGTGCCAGGACAGCAAAGGTGCCCAAGCAGCAGCGTCTGTGCAGCTCTTCCAGCTGAGGTTTCCCAAGGTCTGTAGCAGCTCCAGGGGCAGCCCGGAGGGGCCAAGAGGCTGCACTGGGTGTGAGTGTTCCTGTACCTGCCTGGCTTCTGTCCCACACCCTGGGCACCACACAGTACCTGACACCCTTCTCCTCCCTCTGCACCAGTTATGGCAGCCCATTTGCCTTTTAACTGCTGATTTTTGCAAAACCCCTCAGCACAGGGGGGGGTGAGAAGTGTCACCGTGCTTAGGCTGACCTGCCAGACCAGCTGAAGGTGTTTTCTCCTCCTGTGCCCTCCCAGGGACGTGCAGACAGAAAGGAAAACACGTTTCAGCACCTAGACATGCTGAGAGTTAGTTAAAAAAACCAAAACAACAAACCCAGGGGACTTCAAAAGTAACAGGGATTTGGTTTTCTGTAGTTTAACTTCCCGTTGATCCATTCCCAGGTCACCAGAGCAGCTTTCCCAGCTGTGGGTGTGTAACCACGGCCGGTCAGCCAAGGGCAGCAGCCAGCACAGCCAGGTGGAGCTGGGACAGAGGGGGAAAAAGGGCTGTGCCAGGACAGCAAAGGTGCCCAAGCAGCAGCGTCTGTGCAGCTCTTCCAGCTGAGGTTCCCCAAGGTCTGTAGCAGCTCCAGGGGCAGCCCGGAGGGGCCAAGAGGCTGCACTGGGTGTGAGTGTTCCTCCCTGTACCTGCCTGGCTTCTGTCCCACGCCCCGGGCACCACACAGTACCTGACACCCTTCTCCTCCCTCTGCACCAGTTATGGCAGCCCATTTGCCTTTTAACTGCTGATTTTTGCAAAACCCCTCAGCACAGGGGGGGGTGAGAAGTGTCACCGTGCTTAGGCTGACCTGCCAGACCAGCTGAAGGTGTTTTCTCCTCCTGTGCCCTCCCAGGGACGTGCAGAGCTGCAGGTGAGCCTTGCACCTGGTTCAGCACCTTCAGGCTTGACGTGCCCCTGGGTTGCAGCAGTTAAGTGCCAGACAAGTGTTGTCGTGCTCACTGGGTGCACGTTGTGCCCTTCAGAGCTGTTCCTGCAGGCCCCAGTGCCCCCAGCAGCCCCTTCCCACCCTCGCTGGCTTTCGCAACACCAGGATCAGTTGATATCAAACCAGTTTGCCTGCAGAAAAACCCATAGGGACTGGGAAGGCCTGTGAAACCTGAACCCCTGCCGAGGCACAGCTCCCTTTTCTTCCCTGGCAGCAGAGAGGTCAGTCAGGACATTCAATCCAAGGTCCAGGGGCTCCAGTGAAGGAGAGCAGTGAGGGACAACCAGGAGCACATCTCTGGCAGAGGCAGCACCTGCCTGGGGGGTGTGCTCAGCAGGGCTGTGGTCACCCAAGGGCTGTGGGGGGCTTGCTGGGCCAGCCCCCTGGGGTTTCCACAGCTGTCAGAAGGTTTGTTAATAAAACAGTGTTCAGGGACCTTTCTCAGAACCAATTTTCCTGACAAAAGTAATTTCAGCATTATTAAATCTCCCCTAATTTCTTGTTACTTTTTTTTCTGTGTTTTTTGTGTTTTGTTTTGTTTTGTTTGCTTGTTTTAGATTTAGTTTGTTTTTTTTAAAAAATAACAAGTACCAGTACAAAACACTCTTGAGGCTCTGGCTGGGGGGCAGTGACAGACCTCTTTGCTGGAGACCCTGATGTTCAAACAACCATTTTGCTCGTGGTGCCTGAAAGCCAATTTCCAAATTTCCAAAAATTATTTCTCCTACCAAAGGCTGGTGGGAGGTTCTTTCAGTCCTCACCCACGTCTTGGCTCTCGGTGTGCAGCACTTAGTCTTCAGTTATCAGAGGATCACAGAATGGTTTGGGTTGGAAAGGACCTTCAACACCACCCAGTCCCCCCCCCTGCATGGGCAGGGACCCCTCCCACCAGCCCAGGCTGCTCCAAGCTCCATCCATGACATGTTCAAGGCCAGGTTGGATGGGGCTCTGAGCAACCTGGGTTACATTCCATCTTGTGTGGGTGTTTCACAGCCTGACAAGTGTGTCCATCAGGGATATTGATGACATGGGTCATTATGTGTTCTTTCCAAATGCATGTAGGTGCCTCTCTCCTCTGGCTCTGCACCCTGGAGATGGCAGCAGCCAAGGTCGCAGTGGTTGGTGCTGGAGTCATTGGCCTGTCCACAGCCCAGTGCATCATGGAGACCTGTCCTGGCTGCTCCCTCACTGTCCTCTCAGACCAGTTCAGCCCCAACACAACGAGTGACGTGGCAGCTGGGATGCTCATCCCTCACACCTGCCCAGGTGGGTGCAGCCCAGCTGTGTGCCTGGGTGTGCAGGGACCCACAGAGGGTCAGGATGCAAAGTGTCCTGTGCTCCCTGCATGTCCTGTTTCCTTGCACTTCTCTCTGCATCCTCCTCTCTGTGTTCTCCTCTCTGCATTCTCTTTCCAATACCTGAAGGGGCCCTACAAGAAAGCTGGGGTAGGGCTTCTTACACAGGTATGTAGTGAGAGGACAAGGGGCAGTGGCCTGAAGCTTAGAGAGGGGAGATTCAGGTTGGACATTAGGAAAAAGTTCTTTCCTGTGAGGGTGGTGAGAGCCTGGCCCAGGTTGCCCAGGGAAGCTGTGGCTGCCCCATCCCTGGCAGTGTTGAAGGGCAGGTTGGATGGGGCTTGGAGCAGCCTGGGCTGGTGGGAGGTGTCCCTGCCCATGCAGGGGGTTGGGACTGGATGGTCTTGAAGGACCCTTCCAACCCAAACCATTCTGTGGTTCTGTGATACAATTCTATGATTCTCTTCTCTGCCTTCTCCCTCTCAGCATGTTTGGTGTTGTTCATCCCCAGGCACACCCCCCCACCTGCAGAAGCAGTGGTTCAGAGAGACCTTCACGTACCTTTTTGCCATCAGCAGCTCAGCAGAGGCCTCAGAGGCTGGTGTCCACCTGGTCTCTGGGTAAGAATGGCTCTGGGGCAGCCTTTGGTGTGCATGTGTCGTGTGTGGGAGCAGGCAGAGAGGTTTTCCTTGCTGGAGTTCAGGCATATTCCCTTCCTGGAGCAGCTCTTGTGATCATATTCCCAAGAAACTGCATTGCAGCTGCTCAGGTCTGATGTATTTTCAAGCAAAATTCGTGGATGGGTGTGCACAGAGAAGCCACTCAAGACTGGCCACCACCAAATGTCACTTGGTAACTGATGTGTTCCACACCAGTTCCTTGCAGCAGGGGTGGGATGGGACTGCAGAATCCTCCAGCTTCAGCAGCTAGGTATAGGTGTGCACTGCAGATGTTTTATGCTGCCTGTTTTCTACACAGAAATTCACCTTTTGGGAGTGTTGAGGCCAGGAACTCTGTAGCTTTTATGGGTACCCAAAAAAGGTGAGCCAGTGTGCAAGTGGCCCTACTTGAAGGATCCAGCCAGGGTGGCTGCAGACGTGGTGGGGACACCGTGTGAGGGGACTTTGTGCTCCTACAGCTGGAAGTTCATGCAGTATAGCTGGAAGAACTCTCTCCAGTTCAGTGTGTCACCTGCAAGCTGGGCTGTGACAGCCCCTCTGCCTGTGTGCCAGGGTGGGCACTGCAGCAGGGGCAGCACCATTCCCTGCTGTGAGCCTGGCAGAGCTGCCCTGATGGGTGGGAACAGGTTCCTGGGTTAGTGCTGAGACTGCTGTGACACATAATGTGTCCAGTTCTGGAGCCCCCAGCACAGGAGGGACATGGAGCTCCTGGAGAGAGTCCAGAGGAGGCCACAGAGATGATCCAAGGGCTGGAGCAGCTCTGCTCTGGAGCCAGGCTGGGAGAGTTGGGGTGTTCAGCCTGGAGAGGAGAAGGCTCCAGGGAGACCTTAGAGCACCTTCCAGTGCCTGAAGGGGCTCCAGGAAAGCTGGGGAGGGGCTTGGGACAAGGGCAGGGAGGGAGAGGACAAGGGGGAATGGATGAAAACTGGAGGAGGGGAGATTGAGGTGAGACATGAGGAGGGAATTGTGGAGTGTGAGGGTGGTGAGAGCCTGGCCCAGGTTGTCCAGGGAAGCTGTGGCTGCCCCATCCCTGGCAGTGTTGAAGGGCAGGTTGGATGGGGCTTGGAGCAGCCTGGGCTGGTGGGAGGTGTCCCTGCCCATGCAGGGGTTGGAACTGGATGGTCTTGAAGGTCCCTTCCAACCCAGACCATTCTATGAGAACATGGCAGGGCAACAGCACCTAACTTTTGCAGCTTTTTCCCTGTGTCCTTTTAGATGGCAAGTCTTTAAAAACCCTCCCAAGGAAGAGCTGCCTTTCTGGTCAGATGTTGTCCTGGGATTTCGACCCATGTCTCAAGCAGAACTCCAGAAGTTTCCTCAGCACCAGTTTGGTCAGGCCTTCACAACACTGAAATGTGATTGTCCCCCCTACCTGCTGTGGCTGGAGAAAAGGTTGGTTTTGCTGTAGGCTGGACCTGCAGTGAGAAACCCAGGCAGAGGGGCTGGGGGAGAGCTGGGGCCTCCTTGAGGCCTTAGGTTTGAACAGAACTGGAAAATGGCTGTTTCTTACTGGGCAGGATGCAGCAAGCTCTTCCTGGAGGAGGAGCACAAAGAAATACCCAGTATTTCCAAAATGTGAAAGGTCCCATTTGTGCAATTACCCACTTTGTACCACTGTGGCTGTACAGCAGGGCTTGGAGTGGGAACACCTCTGGGCATGGGACTGACATGGCCACAGGGGCCATGCTTGGCCAGCCAGACCTGGGAGGTACCTCAGGAGCCTGATGTGTCCTGAGGAAATTTGTGGTTGCTCCTCACTTGTCAAAATTCCCAAATATTTGCCTCTGTTCTGGAAGCTCCACCCAACCCCTGGGAGAATAGGCATGTCTGGGATGATGTCTGGGGCTCTGAGCAACCTGGGCTGGTGGGAGGTGTCCCTGCCCATGCAGGGGGTTGGAACTGGATGGTCTTGAAGGTCCCTTCCAACCCAAACCAGTCTGTGACTCTGACCCCTCTCTATTACTGATAAATTTGCTGTACCTTTTCCAGCTCAAACAAACTGAATAATCACTTTGATGAGACCAAATCATACAGATGATGAACAGGAACCCCGTGGCATTTTCTTTGCTTCCTTCATCCCACCTGTTCCTTGGCTTTGGTCAGTGTGCTGAGGGCAACCTGGCTCATGGACTTGTGTGTGTGTGTAATAATTCTCTGAGGGGCTGGGGGTTTCTTTTCTGCCTCATTTCTGGGGTCTTCTTTGCAGGTTGAAAGCAGCTGGTGTCCAGATGCAGACCAGGAAAGTTGCAGCCCTGTGGGAGCTGAGCAGTGAATACAACGTTGTTGTCAACTGTGCAGGCATTGGAGCCCACCAGCTGGTGGGGGATGAGAAGCTCTTCCCCATCAGGGGACAAGTACTCCAGGTTGATGCTCCTTGGGTGAAAAACTTCATCCGTGATGGGGATGGTTTAACCTACATCTACCCAGGGATACACAGGGTGACCCTGGGGGGAACCAGGGAAAAGGACAACTGGAATCTGTCTCCTGATCCTGGGGCTGCCAAAGACATCTTGGAGAGGTGCTGCTCCCTTGAGCCCTCCCTGCGAGGGGCTCAGGAGATCAAGGTGAAGGTGGGTCTGAGGCCAGCCAGGCAGGGTGTGAGGCTGCAGAGAGAGGTCTTGAGCCAAGGAGGAGTTAAGCTCCTGGTGGTCCACAACTATGGGCATGGGGCAGGTGGCTTTTCAGTGCACAGGGGCACAGCCAAAGAGGCTGCTCGCCTGGTGGGAGAATGCATTGCTGCCCTGCAGGACTCCTCGTCCAGGGCCAAGCTTTGAATCCCAGAGGCTCCTTTTCCATTCCCAACAGGCTAGTGCTGCATCTCCTAGTAGCACCTCTGGACTTTTGTTCCCTTCTGGGATAGAAGGGACCTAAGGCAACAGCTTGTGCCATTGCAGATGTTCAGTGGTATCTCACCTGGCTTCCAGTTGCCACCTTGGAGAGACATGATGTTAGTCCAGTGTTAGTCCAGCTGTTCTTCTCCTCCATCTGATGTTGCTTCTGCCCTGGGAGGTGTCCCTGCCCATGCAGGGGGTTGGGACTGGATGATCTTGAAGGTCCCTTCCAACCCAAACAATTCCATGATTCTATGATTTCTCCTGGCCTCATGTCAAGGACAAGAGAAGACACATCAATATTCCTCACATAACAGGATCCCATTGCTGCAGGGCCATACCAGTAACACCAGTTCAGCATTTCATCACCTGCAGCCAAAGGGCACTGGATGCATTGGGTTCAAATGCAGTGAAAACCAGTTCCCTCCTATGAAATCTGATGTAGCACTGCCCTGGCTCCTGCCATCTTGCCATCCACCTTCACCATTTTCTGTGTGATTCCCAAGGCAAAGAAAGCCCCAGGCAGTGCTGCAGGGCAGTGCTCCAGGTCAGCTGTCCCAGCAAGCCATGTCAGGTCACTGCCATGCACATTTTAAGAGCAGGTCTGTGAGGTGCTCACTGCAGGACCTCTTATCACACCCAGGAAACTCTCCCAAGTTTCTGCAAGAGGAGGTGGTCCCCTGGGAACTACAGTTTTGTGCATCTTTCTTCATGCTTGTTTGTAAAGACCTTGTTTTTTCCAACCCCTGTGATTTTGCACTCAGACACAGATTATTGCCCCCAGCCCCAACAGCAGCACTGACATGTCCTGTGTTCTACAGCAGAGGGTTTTTCAGGGTGGGCTTAGGAATCCAGCATCTCCTCTCCTTGTCCTCAGCCCTGCCTGCTCTCCTTGAGCAGCTGATGCCAATAAATCAGCAACAAACCAGCAAGGATCTTAACACCAGCTTCAGTTTCACAAGGGAGAGGAGGGCCAGTTGAGACAAGATAAACACTCTGAAGACAAATCTGTCTGTAACTGGAGGTGAGGAAGCTCCTGCTGTGAGGAAGCTGTGCCACCAAACCCAGACCTCACTCTGAGCAGGGGTTGGGCTGAGCTTCACACCCCCTCAGCATTTCAATCCCTCTGCTGTGGATGGAGACCCACTCCCCAGAGCTGCCCCTTCCATCATGGGACAGGTCTGACTGTTGGTGATTAAACCACTCGTGACATCTGAAATGGCTCATTCCAAGAGCCTTGGCAGCCACTTCAGACTAGGTTGGGGTTTGTTTCTTTTTCTCCTTAGAAAGCCAATCTAAATTCTTGAAGAGTACACGTGATTAAAATGAGCTGATCAATAAAGTTCTAGTCATGGAGCAAAGGTCACTTCTGTAGTGCTTCTTCTCATAAGCAAGAGGGGTTCTTTCATTTGGGATGGCCTAACAGGGCCAAGAAAGGCCAGACCTGGCTGGCAAGTCCTGCTGTTGTCAGGGTGTGAGGACAGTTGTTCTTCACAAGGGACAGCTGGAGATACAGACTGCATCTAATTAAATTAGAGGTCACTTAGCACCTGGAATCAGCCTGAGCCAGTCCTGCCCTCTCCTCAGCTCTGCTGGCTGACTTTGCACTCCCTCCCACATCATTTGTCCTCTCCAGCAGTACCAGAGGGCAGAGCTGCTACTCTTGGCAGCTCTGCTGGCACAGGGCTTGACAAACTGCAGCTTTGTCCTCATCTCACCCAGAGCAGGAAGAAGACATGGAAATATCGTAAGAACAGGTTGTATTAATCTTTATTTTAATCTTTAAAAGTAACAAACGGTGGCTTATCCTGGAGCAAGAGACACTGCTGGTGCTGCTGGGGTGTTGGTGGCCCCATGAGGAACCAGAGCTCTGGTTGTGCCCTTCTGCTCTGCAAGGTGGGGAGGTTTTCTCTTAAGTTGCTTCTGGAAGTTGCCTGGTAGGTAAAAATGGCCCAAAGGTTGAGGATCAGTCTGGCAGCCCAGCTCTGGCCGTGGCCAGCAGGGAAAGGGCCACTTCTGGCATAGTCTGGCACACCCAGCTGAGTGTTCCCTGGCCCTCAGGTGATTTATCTTCCACACCATTGTCAGGTTGCCTCTGAAACCACGTGTGGCACTTCCCTAGTCCCCAGCATCTTATGACAGCAGGTTCCCCATCAGGTGACACTTCTCTGCACAGAGCTCCTTGCCTTCATGTTTGTCTTAAACCTGGGAACACCATTTGGTGCCCCTTTCTTGCACCTTATGAGAAGCAGGGACTGGTTTCCCCATGACCCTTGATGTAGGTACAGAGCTCTACCACTCTTCCTTCCAGACTCTGAAGAGCCTTGCTGCAGGTAGCTGCTACCCACATAAAGTCACTCCATATCTTTGTGCTTCCTTTATACCTTCTCTTGCTCCAAAATACCCTTTTTGAGAAGGAGGGAGCAGAACTGCACATGATACTTAAGGTAGGGGGTGAATTTCATTGATGGGATCTCCCTTCCCTTCCTTATGTTTTTAATATTCCATTGCTTTATTAGCCACTAATGAGTTTTCACTGACCTCTGAGTAGAAGCACCTAATTCCAAGATGCCTGTCCTGGTGTTTCAGAGACTGGCTGCTGGGGGGCCCTTCCTTCCAGCTCAGTTTTCTCTGCTGTTCCCCACACTGAACCTCACCTGCCATTGCTTTGCCCAGGCTCACGAGGTGGTTTTTGCAGCTCCTTGCAGGCAGTTTGCAACAAAGGTGGTTGGGGGGGTTGGAGCATCTCCCTGCTGAGGAAAGGCTGAGGGAGCTGGGGCTGCTCAGCCTGGAGAAGAGAAGGCTGAGGGGAGACCTGATCACTGCCTACACGTGTCTGAGGGTGGGTGCAGGAGGATGGAGCCAGACTCTGCTCAGCAGTGCCCAGGGACAGGGCGAGGGGCAACGGGCACCAGCTGGAACATGGGAAGTGCCCCTGAAAGGTGGGGAGAAACTTCTTGGCTGTGAGGGTGACAGAGCCCTGGGACAGGCTGCCCAGGGGGCTGTGGAGTCCCCTTCTCTGGAGAGATTCACCCCTGGATGCAGCCCTGTGGGATGTGCTCCTGGGGGTCCTGCTGGAGTGGGGTGGGACTGGATGATCCCTGGAGGTCCCTTCCAACCCTGACAGGCTGCCAGGGAACTTCAGGGGTGTAGTTATGGCACAGAAAGGGAAAGATCATATTTTGAGGCATTTCTGTCCCTCCCTGCCTTGGCAGGCAGCAGAGGGGCTGGGTGATGCTTTTTAGAGCTGGGGCACAAACCCCTCGGTTTCTGCAGCAGGGAATTGAGTGGATTTTCTCCCCAGAAACCAAACCCCAGGGACACCTTGTCCCGATGCTTTTGCCTCTACTTGAAACAAACCTGCTGAATTCCTGGGGGAAAAAAAAAATCGAGGAAAATGGGCATTTCCCCTTTGTTACACCCTTTCCCAGCAGGCTTCGATGGGAGTTGAATTTCCCTGTGACACACTGGGATTGATTTGGAATAACTGCAGAAATCAGAGGGAGAACATCAGGGCCTGAGGGTTGTTGTGTGGTTGTCCCAGCGGTGGAGTCATTTGTGCGTTTATCCTGCTTTATTCCTTCTTTTCCAGCAGAGGGAGGTGTTGGATCAAGCAGGTGCTGAGGGAAGATGCTTAGCTGGGGGAAATGGGGGTGCCTGTTGGGCTCCCACAGACCTACAAGGCTCTGAGGGGTTTGGGGTCTGCAAGAGGAGCTGGAGAAACCATCGTGAGTCACTCAGGGCCCTAAAATATCACGGGGAAGGGCTTAAAAAATGAGTCCATGGAGGAAATAGAAATGTGAAGGTAGCAGCAGGATGAAGCTGGTGTTGATAATCATCCTAATAATGATCATAATGCTCCTAATAATAGTGATGATAGTAATGATAGTTGTGGCAATAATAATAATAAATAGCAAATAACAATAAATAACAGTAATAAATAAATATGTATATACAATATTGGTAATAATAGTAAGAATAACAGTAATAACAATAGTAATAATAATAATAATAAAGGTAATAATAATAGCAATACTAATAAAGGGATTATAACAAAGCTGTGTGTCCCAGAGCTTTTCCCCCATCCCAAGGCTGCCTTGGGAGGTCAAATGTCCTTGGTGCCTCGTGTTGGGGGGGATGTGGGACCCCCCAGCCCCCCAGCTGTGCCCGTGCTGGGGGTCCCTGTGGGGCTAGGGGTCCCTGTGGGGCTGCAGCCTGGGCTTTGCACCCCCTGCCTGGCCTGGCTCCTGGGGAGCCCACACACCTCTCGGGGTGCTCAGGCATCAGGGACTGGCACTGGTTTAGGGCTGGGCTGAAATGGGCTCTTTTCTTCCTGGGGATACACACACACACACACACACTCCCCACCCCCATTTCTGTGTCTCTCAATGAAGTCAAAGCCCCATATTTTAGAGAAGGAAAGGTGGGTGTTGGGCCAAAGCTCAGCCTTGGGAGGAAGGAGTGGGGGAGACAAGAAAGCAGAGGGGAACTTCTCTGAAAGCAGACAGCTTGGTACCAATGGGATTTGCAAACCTGAGAGAAGCACCAGGGAATATTTTCCCCATACTTTTGTTTCCCTGCTGAGTCTGTCCCAGCCCCTGGCAGCAGCCAGGGATGTGTCCCACACGCTGCTCATCACCTGCCCTGGGGGACAAGGTGTTTGTCACAGTGTGAGAGGTGGGCACCACGGGCTGTGTCACTGTCACTGCTGCCTGTTCTCCCTGCCTTCTGCAGATGCTCAGCTGAGCAGGCCTCCCCTCAGCCTTTGCTCACATTTGTGAGCCAAACAGGGGAAGGAAACCTGGATTATTTTCTGGACCACCAGAGAATGAAGCAACCACCCAGGCTGCAGGTGCTGCTGAAACACCTGCATGTGCACAACCTGTTGGCTTTTTGGCTGCAGGGAAGGTGTGGAAAACAGCCCTTCCCTCAGGGAATGCACT